TGTTAGGCGTATGCTAACAGAGTAGTCGTGGGAATGGACACATTCCCAGCACTTCCATAACCAACTTTTCCGTTTTACACAATCTTTAGGATAATGGTAGCTATAAGGACCCACCTAATCTACCATCGCCTCTTATCTTTGCCATTATCATTGACATTTTCTTGGGTTGCTGACACGTAGTTTGCTTCTTAAGGTTTTCAAGTCTTTGCGGTCATCGAAGTTAGGAGTACCTGTTGCCATGGCACCTGTGGATTTGCCGACCAAACATCCGAAGGGTTATCCTCCACTTCACTCACACCCCGATTTAATCCTCCTACCCCCAGATGGTGAAGTTAATGAAAAGCGATATACAACTACACTGGTAAGCATTTACAATTATTACCGATTTCATGGATAGGAGACTTAGGGCTTGAGTTTGTAAACGAAACTGACTTTTTCGTTCGAACCGAAAAATATTTATTTCTTGGACCTTTTTTGCTATGACCGTAGACTGGAATGCATCGAATTGATAGACTTCGACGTAGTCTACACTTCAGGACATCTACTCTATTTGACCATAGGAAAGTAAAAGCCGTACGTTTGACCTAGGTGGCCGCCTAGATAAGACACGGGAATAGGAACACCCAAACTACTTAAAGTAGGTGGCCTTGTGGTAAATTTCGGGAACGGCAGGTTTCCTAATTTCTTAACCCTAACATAAAATTAAACCGTAGCCTTACTCTTAACCCCAGCCCTACCCCTAAACCCTACATGTAAAACGAACCCAAACCTTAACCCTTGACATAGTCCTGACCGAAACTCCAACTCCTTTTAATCCTAAACCTAATTTCCCCGGAAGTTGAGGCAAAACTATCGCAGCGGCTTAGCCTAATAAGTAAAACTCTTGCCGCTGCGATCTTCAGGCCCGGTTCCGTATGGAAAGAGAAGACGTAGGACTTCAGGTGGGTGGAATTGGATATTCTGTACAAGGGTAATGGAGCCCAATTGAGCTAAATTTCAGGTCAACTTCACTACGGGGGGTCTCTAATCGCGTGTCCGACCATGATTGTACTTATAGTCGCGGCTTTTCCGTGTAAAACAACTCAGTTCTATAGGTAATACCGATAATTGACACTTAGATAACCATTTCCCATTTATTTGTGCTCAGTGATAACTCAATTTTGAAACCGAGGTCCAGCTGATTAGTCAACTGACTTCCTCTTGAAACACAAGCCACTCCCGAGTGACCTTCGGGTGGTCAATTTACGCAACAAAAACGGTTTGTGAATGGCCTCCTAGGGTCGTTTATTTCTCCTCGGTTGCACGTCGATGCACCAAGACTTGGTGACCTACGTTAAGCGTGACAAACCTTGCAGGCGAGAATGCATGTATATTTGCTTCTACGGCATGTCCCTTACAGAGTTCTTGAGGTGGAAATAGGGTACGGCTTTGTAATGAAAACATTTCGTAGTATTTAAGGTGTGTCAGGGATGTATTCTTTCTGAGAATTCCTCTTCTAGCCGACCAATAAGCCCTGCTACGGATTTTTCAAACTCCTGCAAATTGTGTTTTCGTGGTTAACGGACACTTACTAACTTTTGTCCTCCTTGAACCCTATGACGTCTCATTTTTCTGCACTTTTGCTCGATTTAGAGTTGCTACAATGGCCAACTTCGTTGTAAACAAATTGTCTGTGAGATCGGGGCTCTATCTTATCGAGCTGGTCCGATAACGCTTGAACTCACGGCTCGACTTTGGGATAATACAATGCGTCAGGTAAAGTTTTTTTCTTACCGTATGTAATTCAGCCTACCCTAGTTTACTTGCAGCTTACTTTTACCGTTTTCCACCCTTTTGATCAAATATATAGGAGAAAGTAGTCCAACTGCTAGACACTAAAAATATTAAACCAAAGAAGTATCAACCATTCTGATTTGATTGATATTTTTTAACATTTCTTTTTCGTATGAATCTTACGACGCTTGACTCTTTAAACTGTTGCTCCCAAATGCTTGTGCGCAGTTTACAGTTTAGTTGTGTCGGTTTTTGTGACTCGTTTCTCAGTTTAATATCCCCATTCGTATTTGGCGTTAGTGTGGTATAAGCAGCCGTACACGTTTCCTCAATACACCGAATAGGTTCCTTTCCGGTTGCTAGGATTAATCACTTCGTTGCGATAAATAGCTTTAGACAATGCTACTCACATTTTGTGAGTACTATTATAATACCGAAAAGTTCTAAGAGTGCATGTACTGATGTATATAACGCATTGACATGTAATAAATAGGGGTTTCAAAGGCGTTGTCTATTGTCCTCACTAAATAAACGTAGAACTAATAAAAACCTTATATAAAA